AAGTTATTAAAGGAAAAGGCTGTTTAAAGGGCGCTCATCGTGGTATTCCATTTTAATTTTCAGATAGCACAATACTTTATAGCACTCTCAGAAAGACCCCTCCCCACTTACAACGTTCTTGCTTAATGTGGGTCACGTCCCCGGCTATGCTGTCTGCTTACGCATCAGTTGGAGAGATGCTTACTCACCAAGGCCTGCTATTTATGATTTCATTATTCTCACCCAGCACTTGGGTGCAGCAGCATAACGTACAGTCATGCGTGCTGCGGGGCTGAGCAGCTGGGTTTGGAGGAGGGCAGGAATTTTCAGAAAGCTCCTCTCATGGCACAGATGGGAGTCACCACAGCTGAAAGAGCAGCATCTGGCTTCTCCCAGAAAAGCAAGCTCCCAGCTCTAACCCTGTTCAAATCCAGCTTTCATGGAGTAGGTCCAGAAAATTCCCAAATTCTAACTTTTTTTTTAAAAACAATGATGCACTCTTTCTACTGAATGAAGACAGTGGGACCTGAGTATTGTTAGAAGCAGTAAGTATAAATAAATATTCTATGATGCTATTATGCCTTTTAAATTGATAGATTAATCATTTGAAATCTGAACTCCTTACCAGAAGGCTTGCAGGTCAGGTCATGCAAGATTTTATTAACAACATTTGTTTCTCTTTTTTTCTCCCTTCCCAGCATACTACATTGATAAAGTCAAGATTAAAGGCTACTATGCATTTAAGCTCACTGAAGAAAAATCTAAACCCAGATTTGGATTCTTCACTTCAGATTCAAAAGGAAAGCCTTCCATAAAATTTTACAATAACCTGATAAGCAACAACGGTTTTCCTTCGGACCATTCAGCCTGCGATCCTTCCAGCCAAGAAAAGCAGTGTATCTTCTGCTTGTTTATTTCTCAGAAGAAGCCATTAATATTCTTTGCCTGCTGCCTTTTCTCTACCCTTATCTTGCTTTTAACCATTATTGTTTTTCACAAAAGAAAAAGAAGAAAACGTTTTAAGGCAAAAAGCATCCAGCGCATCTGTGTTTCATTTTAAAAAGGGGGCACAAGCCCACTTTCAGTGAGATTCATCGCTGTTTGCATTCTACAGAGGATGATGCAGATCAGACAAGTGTAGAAAAGCACTACGTGAGTCACTCCAGTCAGACACCCCAAGCATTTCGCTGGAAAATGGGAAGTAACCGTATGCATAGGAAGAAGAGCTATGATGACATATCTTTCTAGTGAAATTACTTTTATCTACCTTCTGTACGTACAAGATGAAATATTTATCTATTTAAAAAAAAAAAAAAAGAACATTTTATGACTCTCCTGTGCCTTGGAATAGCCTTTCAAACAGTTTGACTTGAAAAGAGATATTATTAAGCTGTGAGAACTGATGTGCACTTTTCTATGAACCTCTTTGGACCAAAGTGTCTTTTGATGTATATTCGTTATGAACGTTGTCAAGTATGAAACTGCAGTTGTTAGAGTTTACAAATAAAAGTGTTATTAAAACCTACAAACTTTCAGCTTAGTACAACACCAAGAACGAAATGCGCTGGGCCAGATTCTGACAATACCTCTAAAAGAACAAGTCCAAGTTAACTCCATTATCAACCAACATACCTGTATCTCTTACATATTGGGTGAAGTAGAGATCAGATGTTAACAGTTTAAGAAAATGTAACTGGACCCACAGGAAACAAGTCAAAATAATACACAGTCAAAATGGGGCAACAGTAAAAATTTTTACTAGCAGGGAACATCAAAATAAATAGTAACTATTAATACACTCCAGTGATGAATAGAATTCTGAATTTCACTTTTTCATAGAAATAAATATGTATTATCATCTTAGCTCTGGTCAGGTGCCAGTGCAAGCCGTGGGTGGGACAAAACCATGAGAGGAGTTTATTGCTATTGCTGCAGTGAACAAAAGCTACCAACCCAGGCATAATGCTCTTACAGGATAAATGAAACCGCTATCTATGTCCTTCAAAATTCTCAGGGACCAAACCCAGAGGTTTCCCTTGGTCTGGTTTTGGTCATCTCAGAATGAGCCCAAGTTCTTCCCATGAATTGTACAGTCATTTAAAAATCGCGTTGGCCAGCCTTTTGTCATGGCATCAAAATGCGTGCTCAGATCATCACTGCCCGGGCAGGTACCACGCAGCTCTGGAGAGGGGCAGAGAAGCTGCTCTAGAAATGGAAAGAAGGGCGAAAAGAGGCACCAGCTAAACTCCTACTGCCTTCCTCCACCGGACAACCTTCTTTTCCAGAGGCTAGTACCATTTTCAACACACAGTGAAATCCCCAACCTGTTCCTACTAGAAGTGAGTTACCTCAGTCTCAAGGTCCCCAGAAGAGACAGATGCTCTTTATCCATACCCCAGTGCTGCTGAAGAGATGAGGTGTATAAACACATTGTCGTCTCCAGCTGCATCTGAATACACAAGACAGCATCAAGCACAAGTTAAATGATAATGTATTACAACAAGTAAACGTAACATAAAGTATTACGGCCACTTAACAGACTGCTGGGAACTTTGTGGAAGTGCTGCTTTGAGGATACGAGCAATCGACTGAACCCCAGACTCCCAATGCTTGACCCAACCTTGCACCTCAGTTCATTCGTGCCTAAAGACTATTTCTCCATTACATCTCAAGTACTGGCCAACATCCCAGCCGGTTCATTAATTCAAAAGGCAAGTACTAGTAACATGGTGAGGAAGTCTGCCCCGTCTCACACTGCAACACGTTCCACCAGCGCAGGTGTTCAGGTGCATGCATCCTTCCACCACCTCACACCGACTAGTTACTGCTCACAGCAACTGGGCCGTACTACAGGGAAACTCCAGACACGTCGTGGGAGCGTGGGGAATTTTGGAAGACGACTTCTTTACCCGCACAATTTGATCAGCAGAAGAACCCATCTTAAAAATGTTAAGCAGGCCTTGTACAAAGCCCACATCTGCAGTTTAGTGCCACAGCTTTTCCAGGCTCAGACACTGGTACCACATACCCACTGAACCCAGCAGCATCATGCAACAGGGCGTTTTGGGCAATTTTCTGAATTTCTTAGCTTCAGCTACTTGTTGCCAAGTATGTTTCTGCACTATCCCAGTATTTTACATGGATCTTTTTTCAAAATTGAATGTTAGTGGTGACAGTGTGGATTTTACCATAGAACATCATCCCAGCTGGATGTTGCTACATGGCAAGGTTAGTAATCAAGGAAAAAAACAAGCTATTCCCCCAGATAACACAAACCACTGTTGGTGAAACTCAGCAGTAAGCTCTGCCTGAACTCTGAGGTCAAGGCCTTGGTTTTCTTAATTGAGCAATATAGCTAAAGCATCGTATACTCAGACTACTACTTCCATCTCTGTATTCGTTCAAATGGTCTTATAAATGTGGTTCTACAGATGCCAGTTTTGGTTTTAATCTATGCCAGATTCCGTCATCACAAGTCTGAATTCCCCTCCAGAAATTGTATGCAGAAATCGGCTTTTGCAGTTTGGGGTTCTGAAATGATGAGAGAGAACACTAGTCTCCCTTCCGTGAGAACAATGCTTCTGCTACTTCTCAACGCTATGGTTCACAACTGCCACTTCATGGCTTTACATGCCCCACCCCGAGGGTTCCAAACTGTCAGACTCCACTCAGTCTGAACGCTCTCAGAGACCAGGAGAGCAACGCGCACACCGTGCTAACGTTATCTTGCATCACCCCGTGACAATCTGCTTCTCCAAAATCCAAAGACCTTCAACAGGTTCACACAATCACTGTTTAGTTCTTTAAAAAAAGAGGCCAAGATATGAAATATGTTTTATTTTATTAAATCTCCCATGATGTTCGGGTTTTTGTATCAGATTCTTCGAGATGGTACTTTCTGATACAATGTCTCATGGTGGTTTGTTTCAGGATCCAGACAACTGTAAATAAAAAGTTACAGAGCTTTTAGAAAGGTTTTAGCACTGCAAATGTGAAATTCAAAGTTTATAGACACGTGACAAGTCAATTTATCTGAGAGTTTTAATGCAAGACAAACATTAATAGCTCAAAGAATTTGCTTTATTTTATGCAGACAAGATTACTTGAAGATGCCTTCAAACAGAACAGCTCACAACTGTTTAACAAGCAAGTAACAACTTGTTCTGTCTCTCAAGGAACTCAGAACAGCACTAAAAATCATTTTTTCAGTAGCTTGCAAGTGTCTGGTACCTGTCTGGTGATAAAAAAAAAAATTTGGTCTATGAAACTCACTTCATCCCCATTCTCTGTCTCAAGCTTAGGCTCAGAAGGCACACAACATTTATTTGACTTGCACATCAGCCTGTCTCATTCTGCACCAGTGTTCTGTACCATGCATGGAACCGTGTGTAGCTGAAATGCATCAAAATGCTTTAGCAGTTGAAAACTCTTCAATTATCCCCAAAATCCTTGTGCTCAACTCCAGTACCAAATGTACATACACAACGTAAATAGTTGTCCGTGTTAAACCAACCTTTGTTTACAAGCATTTACACACCACCTACACAGAAGGGCTTTGTAAGTAACTTCTGTGCCAACCACATTTTTTAGCGAAGTCAGCGTCCCATCCGGAGGAACACCAGTCCAGGGAAGCCTTCTCTGTAAACAGCTGTGTAACGGTCTGTCACGCTAGCTCAGCTGGTTCTAAACTCTCAGCCACCACCGCAACTAGCATTCACAGCATCGAATACAGCACTTGGATACGAGTCAGGTATTTCTTAGAGTTAGGTATTTCTCCATACAGTAGCCTAAACACCAAGTTGATGAGAGATGGAAAGTTGCTGTCAAGAGACCTAGCAAAATTTAAGTTTTACGATACCTCTCATGATGCCTTTTACAAGCACAGCTGCATCCCTGTCAGGAACCTGCTTAACCACAGCCTTGTTAAAGTACATAAACCCTGTCAGGCCCCCAGATCGAGTAACCATTTCTACACGAAGACATACAATCCTTGCTAAGATGATACCAACCTATTCAGAGTTCTACTCGTCTGCCTGCTGTACTGTTCCTTTCTCGGAGACATAGATACCATCCAAGAATTTCCTGATATCCTTGTTCTTGACCGTAGTGGCTTGCTGGATCAAGGCAGCTGCAGACAAAGCAAGACCATTAGCACAAAGCAAGAGGTCCAAGCCAACTCATAGCCTCTGTTAACTCTCCAGTATTTCAACTAACAAATGAAACTGACATCTGGAGAAACAAATTACCAGCTCGAAATCCTGTCCGTTTTAACAAAAAAGGAATGCATTTCACTGAGCCTGTCTTGGCAACTTGGAGCAGTGAGAGTTTATGGCTGCACACTCGTACAACTGAAAAGCTGAGAAGTTTGGTGGCAAAAAGGCCATCAATACCGACTCAATAAAATGGTTCTGTGGACTCCTAAAAACGTCTCCAAGTTTAGAAAAAGCTTAAGAAACTATGAAAAGTAATTATGGTGACTAGAGAGAAAAAAAAAAATAAAAATCTGTCGTTTACCTCAGGGTTTGAGGAAAAAGACAGTTTGCTAAGCTGACATCCTCAGATAAAAGCGGCCGTATCATTGTATCTTCCCACGCATCTACTTTCACAAACCTGAATTGGAGACCAATTCAATGTCATTCCCTTCAAGGATCAGCTCATCTTTCTGGGCTTGGGATATTGCACAGGAAACACCTACAGAAAGGAAAACGCACAATCTACATCACTGGTGAAGACGTTTAGCATACTAATGAAACAGTATTCGTGTCCTGACCCAATTTACAGATCTAGAAAGTAGTATCCTGGGCAATAATTAGCTTCTATGACTTTGCTAAAAGTGTCTCCCAAATCCCTTCCAGGACTGTCCTCCTCACACAATTTCAGAACTCAAAGATTAGTGCAAGTCATGCTCTGGATTGAAAACAACTTAAGTGATATTCCTACTTAAACATTACTGCGTTACAGCATCAACCGCCAACACCACATACAAGCCAGAGATTTGGCCAGCATGGCTTTGCCAGCTAGGTGGTGCCATTTTCCACACTCCCACGTTCACCCAGACAAAACTGGAGTCACCTCAATCAAAAGTCGTTAGAACAAACGCCTGGCCCCTGACACAAGAAGCACCACGTTTATACTAGCAACGCCAAAAATACTCACAAGGAGTAAACACTAACACATTCAAGATACTAACAGGAGTCTTCCGCTTGCAAGGAGAGTAACACAAGTTTGATCTATTTAGTCAACAGATGTTAGCTTTTAAGCCAGCACTTTACTATAACTGAAGTAAATGCCAACTTAAAAAAAAAAAATCAAATACAATAATCAAACCCACCCTCAATATCTCACAGTAAATCTAAGTCAAAGCCACCGTAACTCCCTCCATTTTGGACAAGTCTGATGCATTCATCTAAAGCCACCCCAGAACACTACCAGTCACACTAAATATCCTTGCCCATACCTTCACCAGAAGCGGAACTATTAAAAAAAAAAATGTATATGGAAAAAGTCTTCCCTACAGTCTCATTGTAACTGTGTTCACATGTTTCGTCTCCTCCTTTCAGAAGTTTAAAAGCTCCGTCCAATGTCTATCCTGTCAGACATTTTTCTAAAACTCCAAGTATGCAAGACATAAAACCAAGAAGTAAGATAACCATTTTGGAGGTTATCATACATACTCCTAAGCAATCCAGAAATTCAAAACACAACAACGCTTCAAGGACCAAAATATACAGTGCGGTGTAAACCTAGTTCACGTACAACGGTTAAAACCAAAACACCAATCTACAATTAAGCATCTGCAGTCTACCAACTACAAACACTGTCAAGATCTCACAACGATGGAAGTAAACATTTGGCTCCTTGTAACCCCGGTTACAATAACTAGCTCTAAACCAGTTATTAGCTATTAGCTAGCTCTCATTACTAAAAATAAATTACAGAAGCATTATTAATAACTCTAACCAGAAGCAAAGGTACCGTAACATTACATAATTCCAGACAGGTAAATGCTACTTCAACAATCCTCCACCATCTCCCATTATCGGCAGCATTACCTAAATAAAATAGTTTACTATTTCTAACTAGGGTTTCTAAAGTACATCTCCATATACGCTTACCTGGCCTCATACGCACTCTGCGAATGAACTTCTCTCCCAAGAAGTTTCGGATTTCCACAAGCGAGCCATTATCCTGTATAACTACGTTGATTGGGAAGTGAGCATACACCGACCTCATCTTGTAACGAAATCCCTAGAAAAAAAGACATTGTCCGATACTGAAAGCAGTGTGCATCCAAAAGGTAAAACAGATCCGTACCACTTACTGGAGATACCTAAACCCAAAATATATTGAAAATAGTTTCTTAGCAAGAGCAAGCCACTGAGCCCAAGAGACATCCAGAGTCTACTATCCGTGCTTTCTTCCACCTGCAGAACTTGTCTGACAGGACGTGCAAAAAAAAAAAAAAAGGAAAAAAAAAAGCTACACTTTGGATGCTTAGAAAAGTCTCACTGAAGTAAAAGGCTGTCTGTTGTCAGTAACAAAAACGACAGGAGTTAGCCTATTTCAAAATAGGACTCACCAGTGTAACACCCTTTATCATGTTCTGTACATGGCTGCAAATTGTGCGAACTGTTGCCAGCTCCTTTCTGTTACCCCACCACTTGTCAACACGTAGCTGTGTTAAAAAAACAAACGGAATTAACAAAGCTTTCAGTATACTTCAAAACTGGAAATGAAACGTTTCTGTGACAAACTAAGAATGAGAATCTCAGGTAAGCTACTTCAAAGCCCTCCCAACAAAAGCCCAAAGGTATTCTGTTTATCTGAAAAACTATTAAAGGCTCACCTAGCTCAAGTCTTTTATGTCCTAACCCCCAGACACAAAAGAAGTAATTTTTGCTTCGTATCTCACTACTGACAAATCCCCAAAGAAGCTGGGATAGCTACTCTGACATCTTAAACTGAAAGATGCTTTATCAAATGCTAAACACAGAACAAGTTGTTCCAAAATCAGTCTCCTGTGTATTACCTACCAACTTTTTAATGAAACACTGTGTAGGGGTCCAGTGCTTTAATGAGACCCTAGATGCTCGGGAAAAAGCAGCTGAAGTCAGCCACTCTTCCCCTTGTTGTGTAGTTTTCAAGACTGTACAAAAATATTATGCATTTATTTAGAAAACACCTGCTCTCCTCACATAACTTGCCAATTCTGGGAATTAAATGTAGAGATTCAGTTCTGTCTAGCTAAAATGAGCCCACTTATAAGACACAACATTTAACCATCAACCCCTTGCCGCTAACTGTCTGACTGTAACTGCAAAAGAAAAATCAATCAATCAATCAATAACTTCATGCCAGTGCATCACAGAACATCAAGAATTCCCCAGTTCCCTAGCAGGCCCCAAGGCTTCACGAGACCAGCCTCTTTCTGAAAACACAGAAATGATACTGATTTATTAATAAAAGACAGCCCCTTAAGCAGCTGTAAGCACCTTAGTGCAAGGATGGTACAGTGACCGGCTCCAACACTGCTGTGGAGACATCTTTTACAGTGAGCTGTCACAGATAATCTCTTACACTGCGTAAGTCCCTTGAGTTACAACTTCTGTGAGGCCATTCTGTCTAAGCTAGATCTGAAGTGAAGCATAGAATCATAGAATGCTTTGGGTTGGAAGGGACCTGCAGAGGTCATCTAGCCCAACCCCTCTGCCCTGAGCAGGGACATCTTCAACCAGACCAGGTTGCTCAGAGCCCCCTCCAACCTGGCCTGGAATGTTTCCAGGGTTGGGGCATCTACCACCTCTCTGGGCAACTTGTGCCAGTGCCTCACTACCCTCACTGTAAAAAATTTCTTCCTTATATCCAGTCTAAATCTCCCCTCTTTTAGTTTAAAATCATTGCTCCTTATCCTAGCACAACAGGCCCTGCTAAAAGCAGCAGCACAGTGTCCTGTGATGCTGTATGGTCTCCAGCAGGCTCAGTTTCTTCCTTGATGCTTATCGTCTTGTGACATCTTGTGGAAACAGCTGACAGTACCATGACAGTGAATTTCTTATAAACACTACTGGTGACTTTAATGATTTCAACATACCTGTAGAACCCCATCAAGCTACCAGGATTTCTGAGGGCATTGAGCTATTTGGATACGGATTTAGGATCCATATAGATCCATAGGATCTAGGGACCTGCCTGTAGTTACTTCACTCAGCTGTGGACAATGCAGTTTAAGGTGGTCTGGGCAAACCAGGACTCACTCTTTCTTCTCCTCTAGCTTCTATCTCATTATCAGACATTTCCTCTCTTGCTGTGTAGTGCTCCCTGAAAGGCCACATGTGGGACAACTCTTTTTTCTTCAGTACCATGCTGGGCAGATGAAGGCTTTCAACAGACAGAGACTAGGAGCAGGAGCACGGCGCTGCCGTTATCCGAGCGCGTCTCTCGGAGGCTGCGGGCCGCCCGGCTGGGCCTTGGGCAGGGGCATTCCGGGGGGATCGTGCCTTCTGCCTGTCTCACCTGGCTGAGAATGAAAAAGAGCGTTCGTTACGTGTTCAGCTGAAACGGAGTAGGCTTAGGAAAGGCCTGCTTGAACCCACAGAACCACAGGATGGCGGGGGTTGGAAGGGACCTCTGTGGGTCATCTAGTCCAACCCCCCCTGCCGAAGCAGGGTCACCTACAGCAGGCAGCCCAGGACCGCGTCCAGGCGGGGCTTGAACTTGAATATCTCCAGAGAAGGAGACTCCACAACCTCCTTGGGCAGCCTGTTCCAGTGCTCCGTCACCCTCAGAGGGAAGAAGTTCTTCCTCATCTTCAGACGAAACTTCCTGTGCTTCAGTTTGTGCCCATTGCCCCATGTCCTGTCGCTGGGCACCACTGAAAAGAGTCTGGCCCCATCCTCCTGACACCCACCCTTCAGATGTTTATAGGCATTTATAAGGTCCCCTCGCAGCCTTCTCTTCTTCAGGCTGAAGAAGCCCAGCTCCCTCAGCCTTTCCTCACAGGAGAGATGCTCCAGTCCCCTCACCATCCTTGTAGCCCTCCGCTGGACTCTCTCCAGTAGCTCCTCATCTTTCTTGAACTGGGGAGCCCACAACTGGACACAGTACTCGTAAGCGGAGTGCGCGGTGCCGGTGCGTTTGTACTTGGGTAAACTGCATCATCGCTTCCTTTAGGTGTGCGGGAGCCGGGCATGCGAGCGGCACACAGCGTCGGGTTCTTTGACGGAGGGAAAAAAAGAGTTTCTGCAAAATGGGCCGGACCTGCAAGACTTTGTGTCCGGAGATCTGTCGGACCGGAGCAAGTGGGCTGAATACAGGGGCAACTTACGGCGTCAGAAAGGAGAAAGGTAAGGGTGATTTCAAACAACCAGAGCTGCTTCCGTGCGGTACCTTTCGCATTTAGGATTAACTACACAATGTATACAATGTAGGTTTATTCTGTCGTGCTGGCCTGCCAGTCTCATAATTGTTCAAGAAAGAACAAACACAGTATGAACTCTGAGTGCGTAAGGAAACATGCAGACACGGTGGTAGTGTCTCATTTGAGTGCCTGTGCCATGGACTGCATTAAATTACAAATATACAGCAGTAGGTGGGTGTACCCTGCTTTGGTGTTGAAAAAATGCTATTGATAGAGTAAAACAAACAAAGACTGAATTAAAAAATGCTTAACCCCCCCCATATTTCCACTTACAAATTCGATCAGACTTTGTGAAAGCTGTGTAACGTACACTGCCATTAATTGTTGCGGTCTGCAGCGTGGGACTATTAAATCCCACCGGTACAGTTAACAGTTTTAAACCTTCCAGTGACAACCAACTCCTACTCTTGAATGTTGGGATGATGATAAACATGGAAAAGTCCGTTACGACTATGAATGGTGTTAATATTGGTTGCTGGGTTGCATCTGTTTTCAAGCAGCCTTTCCTGGTTGAGATCTGTAACAAAGTGGATCTGTGAAGTTAATGGAAGCTTAATTTATTAATCTTCGTGTTTGTTTGATATTACTCAGGCTGCGACTTCCTCCATGGCTGAAAACAAAGATTCCCATGGGAAAGAACTACAATAAACTAAAGAATACCTTGAGAAGTTTAAATCTTCATACGGTAAATCTAGTGCCAACCAAGTTTTCCTGTGGAAATAAGGCATTTTTTTACAGATAGAAAATTATTTCTCTGTGGAGGACAGGTAGAAATAATTTCTTGCATGATCTTCAATGCGGAAACCAAGCCCGTTGCCAGTGATGAATTTTACCCACAAAGAATGAAGACAAATCTAATAGAGTATTTCACGGTTTTCCTGGTGCGATTTTAAATACTAGGGTTTACTACTTGCATCACCAAAAAGATCAGAGGATGCTATGTGTGACTTTTTAAAGGAAACACACACAATTTCAGCGTTACATACAGTTTTGCATGAAAAGAAATTCTAGAAACTATGTCTATCATTAAATATAGTGGGTATGCATTGAGAGCTTTTTTCCTTTTTTTTTTTTCAGAGTAAGATCATGCTTTGATGAATCGTAGACTTTGTCAACATTTCAACAGTTTTTAAATTAAAAATGTTAATGATAATCTGTGCTAATTAATAAGGCAGTTAGGTGGTTGAGGAGTTTTAGGAGTTGTGAAGTAGAGGAAAATAATGGTAATGGATGTCAGGAAACATTTCTTCTCTTCCTAGCTATTCTGCTGACTTCTTACAGAACAACGTGTAGCTCTGTTAATCTCCTCATTTATCGAAGAAGGAATTATGTTTTGTTTGTAGGCTACTATTGAAATTGTTTATTAATATAATAATAATTTGCTATAATAATACTGAAAAAAGACAGGCACATCACTGTCTTTTAGGTATGTGAAGAAGCCCGCTGTCCCAACATTGGAGAATGCTGGGGAGGCGGTGAATATGCTACAGCTACAGCTACTATTATGGTAAGCTATTAACCACTTCTTAAATATTCTGTTGATGTTTGAGCTGTTTGTTGTTGGATCTCTGCTGTAGCGGTGCGGGCTCATGACAAGAAATTGGGAGTAAATCACTGTCCTCATTGTTTTGCTTAGTACTGGGGTTGGTGTTATCTAGCTGTTTCCCAGCTGAGCAGTAGCGATGCGTACAGGCAGGAACGTCTGTCTTGTTTCAGCTGATGGGTGACACATGCACTAGAGGCTGCAGATTTTGTTCAGTAAAGACAGCAAAAAACCCGCCGCCGCTGGATCCCGAGGAGCCTTACAACACAGCGAAGGCTATAGTGGAGTGGGGCTTGGATTACGTCGTGCTGACGTCTGTGGACAGAGACGGTTAGTGCGTTGTCCCTCCCGTCTCCCAGTCTGAGCGCTCGCCTGCGTTGCGTGGGGCAAACGCAGACCCTGGGGAACAGCGGTCACTCGGCGCAGTCATTGGGGATTACTGTTTTACAGTGCTGAAACTTTGCGAAGTTTCTACGTATTCTCAGTACTTCTCTATGTCTGGTGAAATATAACAGAAGTTACACTGTTACTTAACATTAAAATATCACAATGTTTTATTAAACATTTTAACTTTTATCCCCCACAACACTTACATACATACCATGTTCTATTATTTGATCAACAAACCCCCCCCCAGCCCAAACATTCATATACAGTAACATTACAGAACTTCCATCCAAAAACCAAACCTGGAATAAAACTGAAAGTTGCCTTTCTCTAAGGTTGTAGTAGCTGCTTTGTGGTGACATCACATAGGTGGGGAAAACCATTGCAAAGACCATTCGATATACTTTGGTGGAAGGTCCAGTAGCTTCAAAGTGGCTTGCAATAGAAGGCCAATAATCTATATATTTCATTTCTTGTAGAAGTGTTTCTCAGACCAAACCCACGAACAGATAAAGCCATTCTGTGCTCAGGCTGACAGTGAGCCTAGAGACAGGTAGATTCGGAGTAAACATCTGAAGTCTGCTCTGAACAATCACAGTCAGACTTTGTGCAGAACAAGGCTGGTAGAATATCTGTTGCAAACCTTTGGCATAAGCAGTAAGGTAAGACTGGGGTTTGACTAAGAACTGCTTTATTAGTTTGCATTTAAATTTGACTCTGCAGGTTTTTTTTTTCCCGGCTTTGATAATAAGTAAATACATTTCTTGAACAGAAAGGTTAACTGAGTAATTGAAATGCTTCTAGATATGCCTGATGGTGGAGCAGAACACTTTGCGAAGACAGTCGCTCATCTGAAAGAAAGGTATATTTTTTATGTATTACTGTCATTATTATTACAACTTTAGAATGTGGTACTGCATATAGGTCGAAACTACCTTCAGCTGGATTATTCCTGGGGCCATGGAAATACAAAAGTCTGCCTTCAGTCTATCTATGATCCTTTTTTCCCCCCCTGTATTTTGTCTTTCTCATATAATGGCCCCAAAGTATTTTGAATTTGGATGCATTTTCAATTTAGCCCAGGCTTATTTAAAGCTAAACACTGAGTTATTTATTTGATTGTGCGGCTGGTTTACTGGGAAATGAGTACATACTGTGGAGGTATGTTCGTTCTCGAAGCTCAGGGCTCAAACACAGTGGACTTAGGTAATACACGGTACAAAAGAAGGGGGGTTTCTCTTCCAGCAGCGATCGGATTGCTTTGTGTTTTCGCACAACGGCTGTTTCCAAGCCTGCGATTGCACCTTCCCGCTTCCCCGAGCTGTGCCGCCTTCGCTCTCTGTGTCCGTGCCCTGCACGCCGTCTGGCAGCACACTTGTCTACCTGCCGGTTTAATTCGTGTAACCTCCCTTGAGCCTTTTTCCAGCGCATCCTGGGACTGGAAAGGTTCCTGCCGTTTTCCCCACCTGCCTTTGTGAGCGGAGATGTGGTTGCTGGACGCCGAGATTAGATTGCAGGGCAATGACGCGGAGTCCTCCTATCCCGGTAGGCAGGATGATCGCTCCGCTGCGTTCTGCAGCTGCGATACTGAACTCGTGTTCACCTGCGACCAAGGCACATGAAAAATCACGTATAAACAGTGATTGTGATTGTTTTAAGAGACTGTTGGAATCGCTTTTTGTATTTATTATTTGGCCTTCGTTCTTCTATGTCAGCTCACAGTGGTGAAGTCAGGAATGAAACGGGTGATGTTACACCGGAATTGTAATACCGGCGCTGGCAGAAACGCGTGGGCTTAGGGGCGCATCCCGAATTAACTTTGCTCATCAGCGCACCGGTTGCTCGGTTGTTGGTTGGTTTTCTGCTGCGCTGGGTTTTCTAGCACCGGCGACCCAGACCCCGCAGCCGCGTTCCCTCCCTCGCAGGTGCCCCGCGATCCTAGTGGAATGCCTCACGCCCGACTTCGGCGGGGACCTCGGCGCCGTCGGGAAGGTGGCGGCCTCGGGCCTGGACGTCTACGCCCACAACGTGGAGACGGTGCCGGCCTTACAGAGGTGAGCGCGCACCC